TGATCAGAGGAGGGGCAGAGGGAGAGGGAGAGAGACAGAATCCCAAGCAGGCTCTGCACTGTCAGCACGGAGCCCAATACGGGGCTCGAATCCACAAGCCATGAGATTATGACCTGAGCTGAAGTCAGATACTCAACAGACTGAGCTACCCGGGCTCCCCTGATTGATAATTCTTGACCCAGTTGATGCAGTTTTTGATATGTGTGCCTAACATAGAATACTTACCACTAAATAAATTATAGCTTTTCTGTCCCTTGGTTTCTGTATCTGAAATATGAGATGATTGCTAACATTCCCCCGCTAAACACTTGTTATATGGTTGATATTCTGTGTATGGTACATGTAGGGTATGGAGGGTGTGGAGACTAGGGGGTCAGAAAGGGTGGGGAGGAGAAGGATGGAGTGAGGATGAAAAACTCTTTAGAAAGGCAAATACTCACTAGTGGAATCAGACAAGATGCATGAGGTTGGGCTGGGCTTTCAACTCCTAAGGTATTATCCAACTCGAGAAGGAAACATCAGATCTGAATCAGGTCCTCCCCTCCCCTTGCCTTCCTTCTTTTTTTTTTCCCTCCTCCCCCCTCCCTTCGTTCTTTCTCTGGGCTAGAGGAAGTGGTGTTTTGTCATATTTATACATTTCCTCAGAGAAGATTGGCAGAGACTCAGATCAGAGAGAATGTAAGAGGCTCGAAGGCCTGAGCACACCTGTTTTTGCATCCAGGGACTCAACGCTCCTGATATCACTTAACCCCTTTTACCAGATGCATATATAACCCTTTTACCACATTTCTATTTGCTGCTTATACACAGACGATTGATAATTCACTGGAAATGTACCCACAAAAAGTGCAGAATTTGGAGTAACCAAAGGGACATGCTGCTAATGGCTAGAAACTACGTTGGTTGGTTTGTATTCTCTCCCCAGTCACTTTTTAGACAATCTGGATAGAAAGCAGATATTTCATTTCTGTGCATCATCCCTCTAGGTTCAAAGATTCTTTTGAGGGAGACAAGGGAAAGATGATTTAATGCTGTCAAGTGCTTTGAGATCTCAGACAAAGAAGCTCTGTAAATACCGAGAATTACTGGGCATTATCGGCCCTGGTATCAGTCCCCTCAGTATTATAAGAGCTTTGGAAAAATTAATGAAGAAATAGGTCCTGGCATACTGGCAGCAGCAATTGCTTTCTGGAAAGATTAAGAGACCCTCTACATTGGGGAATGTAAGATTCAGTGAAAACTTTCTTTTTTTTTCTTTTTTCTTTTTTTTTTTTTTTGCAAATGAAAATCACCAAAGATGAAAACCCATTGCAATATGAAAAAGAAAGAATTAAAGCTTTTAAAAAATCAGTCTCCAATGGGGAGAGGGCAAGCCATTGTATGGGTGCACATACCTTCCCAGGAGATGAGAAGAGAGAGACATTCAGAGGGACAGACTAGGCTTCAGAAAAAAAGCCATGCAAAAGGCTTTTGCTTTTATGTTCATATGTGCTACAAAACTAAATCCTTTTAAGACAATAAAAATAAAAAAGCAACTATGCATTCTGTGTTGGTGAGGGTATAATCACATCTGTTATTGGTGGACGTTTAAACTGGTAAATTCTCTATGGAGGCCCACATTGCAATACTCAGTGACACTACAAATCAACTTTCCCATTGTCCTAACAATTCCATGTCTGGGGATTTATCCTGCACATCTATCTGTGTGAGGGCAAACTGGTATATGTTTGAGGATATTCAGTGCAGCACTGTTTGTGTTACTGAGGTCTGAAAACAACCTAAACACTGATTAGCTGGGGATTACATAGCGGCTGGTGTATCCACAAAAAGTTGTGTAGCACTGTTGTTAAAAAGACTAAGGCAGCTCTGTGTGCCTTGATATGGAATTAGCTCTAGGGTGGTAGTGGGAATCGAAAAACTCAATATGCAGAACAGAGTGTGTGTGTGTGTGTGTGTGTGTGTGTGTGTGTAGATGTAACTATGTGTGTTGGGATTCATCATGCTGTTATATCCATAGAATGGATTATTTCTGGAAGGCAGCATTAGAAAGTGATCATTAGTTAGAAGACAGGGCATACCTCTACTTTATATCCTTTTGAATACTGCATCATGTACCCATGTGACCTTTTCAAAAGATAAAGAATACTAATGTGTGTGAAACCACTGATTAAATGACAAAGTAAAAATACGAACTTTGTACCATTTTCTGGGGGTGGAGCCGCGTGAGATGTGTCTTCAGAAGGCCTTCCACGTTGATCTCAACACCAGGCTTTCCAGCCTCTGACTTCTCCAGTTGTCTACAGCTCAATTCAGGGTGAGTGAGCCTCGTGCCTGTGGCCTAACTCTCCCCAAACCAGGAAATCCTTGATCTGTACCAGATCTATCAGACAAAGGTCCCTACATACTAAGACCTTTGTCTCCGTCGGCCTGACCGAAAACCTCCGCCCGAGTTGGGGGCTCCCCCCCCCCCCCCCCCGAGCTATGCCAAACATACTTGCTATAATTCTGACCAGGGATAATTTTGGAATTGTGTGTGTGTGTGTGTGTGTGTGTGTGTGTGTGTGTGTGTTTTGTTGTTGTTGTTTTGGTTGTAAGGAACAACTCACTAAGTGAGGGGACACTTATTGAAAGGATACATGTGAAGCAATGAGAATAGCACCATTCTCATAGGAATCCAATACAAATAATAAAACAACTTCAAAAATAATAATTACGGAGCACTTGGGTGCCAGCACTGTGCTAAGTGCTTTGTGGCAACAAGGGACCTGATGTTGCTTCTCTGTTCTGACAGCAGCTGGCTTATTCACTACCTATTGGGCTCACTCGGTCATTTTGCGCCTCTATAACACCAGCTCCCACAGGGTCCTTTGAGGCCCTCTCCTACCTCAAGGTCCCCTCTGCTTGTCAGCTATCTCCTAACTGCTTCCTCATCTTCAGATCTCCTGTTCAGTCCCATGAGAGAGAATTTGAGAGGTCATCCTTCCAACAGCCACTTCCTGTGGGCTGGCCGTCTCATTTACCTGTGGTGAGGGCTACCAGGCCTCATGGGGTTAGTCTTGTCCTATACTCACCAATTTCCTTTTTGAAGAACTGACCTTAAGCCAAGCATTGCGATACTGGGGACACAGCGCCAATAAAGCAAAGCCCTTGCTCTCCATGGATTTGCCTTCTACCTCCTTTACCTCCAGCTATGGGTGTGGCAGACATTCTGGCCTGTCCAGTTTGGAGACAATGGCCCATGACTGACCACTGAGCTCTTGCCTCAGTCCCCAAGTCACTGCCTCCTGTGGTTCTCTGCATTCATGTCCTTTCCCATTATCTATCCACCTCCAGAAACTGGGCATGTGCCTTGCCCCACTGTACTGGGGAGTCCAAGGTGACCAAACAGATGGCCTCAACAGCTGGTGGAGAGTGATGGGAGGGAGGCCTGGTGGGCTCCACTCAGAGGCCCTGTGGGTCAGCTGCCGTGGGCAGTTGAGTCCTAGCTACAAACAATGAGACTGCTAACTGTTGTACCATAATTTGTAGCAAATGCCCAAGCTGTTATCTGCTTTTCTCTCTTTCTTCCCTTTTGTCGAAGCTAAACTGCTTGAAAGGATTGTATGCCTTGTCAAAGGCGTCAACAGCCGGCCAGAATCAATCTTTTCTTAGGCTTGTCTTCCTCGTTCTTCAAACTCCTAGTGATCCTTCAAAACCTAGCTCCAGGCATTCCCCTCCCGCCTCAGTGAGTCCTTCCCTAAATTCTCAGAGGTCAGCATGCCCTCATGTGGGCTCCTTCTGTACTCGGCATGTAATTTTGTTGTTGCTGTTACCATGCTGTCCTGCCAATATTTATTTAGATATATGTTTTCTTTACTGGAGTCTAAACTCAACAGAGGCAGGGACCATGGCTTGGTCATTTGTTCATTCGTTTTTAATTTAAACAAATTATTTTGGAATAATTTCAGATTTATAGATTTATAGTATGTTTGTTACAACTAAGGAATCAACATGCCTATGTGACACTTAAGTAAATTTCATAGCTCATTCAGATTTCACTCATTTTTCCTTAACGTCTTTTTCCTGTCCCAGGATGTCATCCAGGTACCACATTACATTTAGTTGTTATGTTTCCTTAGCCTTCTCTGGTCTGTGAGAATTTCTTGAACTTTGTTTTTGATGACTTCGAGAGCTTTCAGTCATACTGAGCAGGTATGTTGTAAAATACCCCTCAGTTTGGGTTTATCTGATGTTTTTTTTGCTCATGGCTAGATTGGGGTTTATTTATTTTTAAACACTAGCCCTGAGCTAAATACTTAGCATGTACCACCTAGTGTAGACCAGGCATTTGATTAATGGTTATTGAACAGAATTAAATTCAAGTGCTTCTTTGGTACCTCCTATATAAACAGAACCCTGATTGATGCTTTTGGAGAGATGAAGTATGGACCTCAAGTTCTGTAAAGATCTTCCACACAGCTGAATAATAAAAGGCAACATGCAAACAAGTGTCAAATAAGTGGAACTGAGAGAATGACCTACGACAGCTCAGGAGATGGACTAACGAGGGTGAGTGGGTGCAGTCAGCAAAGATCTATGTGAAGGAAGGCCCTGGAAAAGTGGGGAGGATTTAGAGAGGCTTTTTTCAGTTTTCAAGCATACCAGGCTGGTCCTTGCCTTAGAGTCTGCTCACATGCTGAGCCCAAAACCTGAGAGACACCTCCAACTCCTCTTTTCCCCATGGCTGATGTCTTCTCATTGTTTAGGTGCAGGGCTAAATGCAAGTTCTGCAGATGACATTATCCAAAATAGGCTCAACTTGCCACTGTGTCCAGAGATCTTGTCTGTTTTCTTCACAACTTTTCTCAATGTTTCCGATGATTCATCGTTCCCTTTATTGTCAGTCTCCCTCCCTGGAGTCTAAGCTCCTTGAGGACAAGTAGTGAATTTTGAGTTACTCTGGCAGAGTGCATTCCCCGGCAAACAGAGGTACTTGAATTATCTTGTTGAATGAATAAAAGGGTGGGTGTTGGATGAGCCGGAGTGACAAGAAGACGCATGAGCACCTGCTGGTAAGAGGCACTTGAATGGAGCAAGAGTGAACCAGGCAGGCAGGTGGGATGCTGCCAGGTCATGAGACTGATCACAATGGTGTCAGGTGATCTCAAACGGGGTGGCATAACTTGGGCAAAGGCCAATGCTCTAGGTGTGGGCTGCACAGAGGTAGAGGTTGCCCAGTAATTTTCCACCTTGGGGAGGGCAACAAGGGTTCATAGGACAAAGAATGGGGAATAAGGGAAAACTAGGGTCAAGGAAGGGGGAGGGGCTGGAGGAATGTCTGCATAAATTGAGAATGTATCCCATGAATTTGAACAACACAAGAGCTCCTGAGAGGCCAGGGAGGTACCCCAATGAACTTCTCTGGTGTTGGCACAAACGCGAGGGAAAAAAGCACACTGTGGACAACACGGAAGGTGAACACTTGGATTTTTCGATAGGATTTCATACTAGGAAAGGACAGCCATCTTCGGAAGCATGAGGAAATCTAGAAGAATGCAATTGTTTCCATTCTGGGCTCAGAATGGAAAGGATCCCAAAGAACTCTTTATTTTCCACCATGTTTCCTACATGGTTACAAAGGACAGAATCTGTGTATACACCGCCGACCTAGGAAAGTATGTATTTTCCCATCCAAATTCAGTTTCAAAACACGGACCAATGCAGTGTTTCGTACAGATTCTGACTGGAATAAGCTCAGGGGGAAAAGGCCTGGAAAGCACATGGCAAAGAAACTCTGAGAGTCCAGAGTATGATTTAAAAACAAAAAACATGGGACGTGTCGTCTTTGTGTACCCGTGTAAATAATTATGATGGTTGAACTCTGCTTATTTTTCATCCAACCTAAGTAACAGCTTTGAAAAAGAAAGATAACAGTGACCTGTGTGTATGGGAGTCCAGAGGGACAGTCTGTGACAGAGCTCACAGGGTTCCCAGGAAGACCAAGAACAGGGTCCAACTGATCTTTCTCTGACAAGACAGGGCTGGGCAGAGGAAGGCGTAAAGAATGATTGCACTTGTACATCGGAAGGTCAGCACACGAGATCAGAGAGCAAGTCTGTTATTTCAAAAATATAGCCTTCGAATCCCCAGAGGGTAAGTGGATGAGTTCTGTTCACAACTGGTAACTCCAAAATTCGTCCTCTCCCCTGTGCCTCCTTACGTCAGAGCGAGAAGGGGCCATATTAGTATTAGCCTATGTAGTCCCTTCATTTGAGAAGGAAGGAACCTGATGTCCAGAGGACAACATAACCTGCCCAGAGTCAGTCTGGTAGACTGCGCCTGAGCCTGGTGAGACCTAACACTGCTTCCCATGACAACCCTAAGCAGCCCCTCTGAGGACTGACCACAAAATCGGCTCCGGTTCTACATTTTGATCTTTAGTCTCCATTTATTCGAATCTATGAACACTGTTCGCCGTATTTTCTCCCCCCTGGCATTACTTCTGCAACAACCTTGAGGTGGCGGCGGGGGGAGGGGGAGAATAAAACAAAACACCACACACATTCACATTCATTGTAATGAAAGGCACACCGGGTATCTGACCTAGACTCCTAGTTCCCTGCCAATCTTGAGCTCATCTAAATTCATTTCCCTAACAGAAAATAGGTGTCAACTTTGTAGATGGAAAGTAATTTCCCTGCAAATATCACCCAGAGAGGTTACTAGTGCTACTTGACAGTTTTATTATTACTTTTGTTTCAAGCTAAGGTGAGGAAATCTACATTTGCCACGTGGCATGGTGGGGGGAAAAATGTAGACTTTTAAACTTTGTGTCAGTTTTGCCATGGGAAGGAAGAGTAAGAAACCAAGAACAATAGCGTTGGCTGCAAGCTGAGTCCATCAAAGAGCATTTCACAGGATCCTAGCTTTCCTCCTTACTTCCCACCCACAACCTTTCCGATCCTGAAACATCAGAGAGGGTTGGAGGGAACTATTCTGCATCACCTGAGCAGCCCGGCTCAGAAGTGGGCAGCTGAGTGGCTCGGCAGGAACTACTTGTAAACACTGCGTATGAGCTCATTCATAATGTCAGCCAACTGGGAGCAAGGTAACTTCTTTTACTCTTCTCCTGATTCAGCTGAAGGCTGGTATGCTTTCGTGAGTACTCTATCACGCTCTCTCTCAAAATAAATCAATAAACATTTAAAATAAAAAAGGAACGACGTATGTAATAAAATATGAATTGAAGTAGCCTCTCCCTATAAATAGCTATTCATGAAATACATGTAAGTGGCTATTACTAAAATACTCTTTTAGTTGTCTTTATGTTGTCTAGGTTTCATATCTAAATGTGAAATGTTTAGATGATAGACTACTATGTATTTTCTAAAGGGTCATATAATCTTGGATAGAGGATTGCCAGATAAACTACAGAAAATCCAATTAAATTTAAATTAAAAATAAACAATAATTCGTTAGTGTAAGTGTGTTCCAAATATTGCATGGAACATGCTTTTCTTCTTGTCATTTGGCACTGGCTGCGTTAACTAGCCAGTTCATTTGTTATCCAGATTATTTTTTTCCTCTGCCTCCTTTTTCGACCTTTCACTTGCTTAATTTTAGGAACCCCTACGGTGGAGGGTAGAGACAGAAATACAGTTCAACCACATTGGGTGTCCTACTTATCATTGGCTGGGACACATGTTTTAGTAGGGAAAGAATGTGATATGCTAGGTTGAAAATGGCAATTATCTGCATCCTCCCTATTACCATCTAGATAGAACGAGCCACAGACTGATGTTTTCCAGAGTTTGGGTTTTACAGACCAGTAAAATGTAAAAAGAAAAGAAAGTTGTGACACTGTGAGAAGATTAATATTATTTATTGTTGCCAAGTTTAAATCTGATCAAATAAAATGTTAAAAAATACCGCACTGCCACTTTCAATTATTGTTAAGTCATAAAAGAAAGTAACATCTGAGCATCTCCAAAGTAGGAAGGACACACTCTTAGAATAAAGAGCAGTACTTTTTTTTTTTTTAATGCTTATTTATTTTTGAGACAGAGACAGAGACAGAGAGACAGAGACCACTGGGAGGGGCAGAGAGAATCCCAAGCAGTCTCCATGGTGTCAGTGCAGAACCTGGGGCTCAGTCTCATGAATGGTAAGATCATGACCTGAGCCTGAATCAAGAGTGGGATGCTTAACTGACTGAGCCACCCAGGTGCCCCAAAAAAGCAATGCTTCTTAAAGAAAGTTGGCAGCCTTCCGATGTATAGTCATTGGTTTTGTGAAAACTCCATCCCAATGATGCGCAGGCCCTGGGATCTGAGAACACCCAGACCAGGTGATGCCGTGGTAGCCCCAGTAAAACGACAGTACCAATATCACACATCACACAGGTTTGTGCTGCCAGGAGAGAACCACAGAGCACTTCCAAGTAAAGGAAAGAGAAGGTCAACTTTTGATGACCTTATGTTACTATCTAATTTAAGTATTTCATTTCGGAGAAGCTTATGGTGTGGAAATATTAGGTGACTTTTGTCAGACCATGAAGCACTTCCTCCACTTAGAATACACAGAAAACCTTTCTCCAAGCTTTTCTAAACTTCCTTTGATGCACAGCCTGATCTCTGTGCTCTTCGTCCCTATGTCCGTAAAACGAACGCTTGGCAATTGGATAATATGACATGGAACTTAAAGCCCCTTCATCAGAGAATCCAGAGATCTTTGACACTACAAGTAATTAGTAGTTATGAGTAATTTTGGCTCTTGTGAACTGGCAGAATGTGTGATCCTGGCCGAGAAGAGTTGGGTATTGGCCAAAAGGCAGGCGTCGTTGGGCAGGCCAAAAGGCAAGTCCCCAAGTTCAGACTTTCTATCATCCTTCCCATTTTACACAAGGAAAAACTCTAGTGTAAAAGTGGAGAATCGTGGGAAATTGCTGAGTTATTAACAGAAACCATGATTAAAATCAACTTCCCAACCCAAGTCTTGTATATTGTTTCTTCTTGAGAAACACATATAAAGACTTTTTACCAGGGAAACTTTAAAGATTTTTATTTTTTAATTTTTTTAAGGTTTATTTATTTTTGAGGGAGAGAGACAGAGAGAGAGACAGAGTGTGAGACGGGGAGAACAGAGAAAGAAGGAGACAAGCAGGCTCCAGGCTCTGAGCTGTCAGCACAGAGCCTGACGTGGGGCTCGAACTCGTGAACCACGAGATCATGACCTGAGCCAAAGTCAGAGGCTTAATTGACTGAGCCACACAGGCACCCCTGTAGTGACAGAGTTTTAAATTGTAATTGTTTATCTTACCTAATAAGTGAAAAAAAAAAGATATGAAACACATACACTCCCATGAAAAATCACTTCAACCGGAACTCTAAGGAACTCTAAGGCCAGTTAACATCACCTCCCAGTTGCAACCCCTCAGAGTCCTGCCAGAGAGATTCAAAGCCACCAGACAGTCGCATTCAGAAGGAGTGCTACCATTTTTTTTTTTTTTTTTAACTTCTTAAACCCACCCCTTCTGTAATGACTGAAGCTTAGGTATTTTGCTCTCAGCTCTATTTAATATCAGCTTGTTTTCATTCCTCACTTGCTGTTGTTTGCCTTACTAATTCTGACATGATTATTCTTTTCAGGTCCAACTGAAGACAAGAGAGAGGTTTTGGCTTCGGGTCCAGGGTGATGTTTCACAGAAAGTCAACTCTTGTTCCAGGTACTTGATAAACATCTCACTAACTAATTTCTCACTGTCTTTAAGCCATTAACATTTTGGTTAGTGAGTCCAGAGCCCTTCAGACACCGTTTTCCTCCTACACAAGTAAGCTAATAAAACCCACGAAGGGCAGCTGGGCCCTGTGCTTGTCTTTAATGGTTTCTGTCACCCAGAGCAAGCAGCCACGAGCATGACCATGGCATTGCGCATCGGGGTGTGCAGCCTCAGGGCAAGGGAAGAGTGCGAATAACTGTGGCCCTCAAATTGCAATTTAAAGATAGCTGTTAGGTTATCCTCTCCCCACGTGCTTCTCTTCTGAACCACCAAGTTTGAGGACAATGTGCTATTTTTACTTATTTTCAGGGGAACGAACATTAAACCCTAGGGTGATGGTGGCATATTGCTGAATTATGTGTTTTGGCCTGACTAGAATAAATGTTTTTGTTGTTTTTGGGGAGAGGGAAGAAAAGAGAGCTTCAAATCCAGAGAGAGAGAGAGAGGAGAGAGGAGAGAGAGAGAGAGAGAGAGAGAGAGAGAGAGAGGAAGAAGCTAGATTTTCCTAGTTTCTGGATTCTAGGTATAAAGAAAAAAGAAGAAAGTAGCCACAATTAGTAATATAGTAATTAAACCGGAGGAAGCTATCATCCTTAAAAAGGCGTTTCTTGATAGATTTTGATTCCATTTGCCTCTACTGATTTAAAATGTGCTTTCTGCAATCAGAATACAGGTATGAGACTTAAAGGGGAAAGAACACCTTAAAGGCTTTGCAAATGCATGTGAAAGACAGTGACGCTTTCTCCCAAGGATGCTTTGTTGCATCGGGGAAATGAATCAGAGACTTGGCCCTCAATTCCCTCGGCAACAGAAACACGCTTGAAATGGTTACGGCAAATGAGTTAGGGAAAGTACACCCTGCATTTTGCTTTTAATTTCAACAGAACAAAATAAAACCTTGGACTTGGCTGGAGACACATTCTGAGCCTTTGTGTCTTCTATTCTCTGCCTGAGTCAACTCCAGGCAAGACTGCATTCTTAATGCCTTTATTTTCAGATCTGCCTCACTTAGAGGTTGTGGTGTGGTAGCATTAGTAGTCACGGGGTTTGTCGCTCTAAGAGTTACCCTTGTGAAATACCAAAATATTTTTGTTCAGGTTAAACATTCCCTTCGTTTCTCGGATGAACTCCTTCAGGAAGTGTGTTCGGTGCATATCCAGATGCAGTCTACAAGAAGAGGGTTGGAGAAGCTCGTCCAATTCCTTACAGAGACCATTCCTTCTACCCACGTAGGAAACCCGTGTTCTTCTCCTTTTCAGGTCTATCTTATCAGACTGGGAGAAAGAGACTAAAGCAACCCTACGTCACCACTTTGAGAAAGGAGTTGAGGTACGGTGCTCATAATTCCTGGCTTTTACTTGGATCAAGTATGGGAGAAAGGAAGAAAGAGAAGAGGAAACTAAACCTGGAGGAAGAAGAAAAAGAAGAAGGGCAATAGCTATCCACCCTCTCCCCCAGAACACCTAGCAATCTGCCCTTTTGAGTAAGCTGACTCGTAGTACATACGAGTGCCTCTATGGGCTTGGAGGTATCCAACTAGGCCTGCCATCAAGCAGAAGGCAGTCTGAAGCTGCTGAAGGAGAAGGATGCCTACCATTGGTTCTTTTATTATCATCATCATCATCATCATCATCATCATTGTAGTAGTCTGTAGGGGAGGAAAATTTTTCTTTTTCTTCTACCTGTCTTGGGTTCACTCCTGCAAATTAGATTGACAAAGGACAGGCGAATGAGAGAAAAACAAGCAAGTTTATTGATTCATGCAGCACACAACACGTGGAATACTTAATGAGGAATAATTCAAAGAAAGATACACCTGTAGAGAAGTGACAAGACGAAGGAAAAGGGTTTTAGACTTCTAGGGGCGGCAAACTGTAGGAAGAGATATATGAGGGGAAACCGACGGAAGATAAAGATTGTTTTTAGTAAGGTTTGTTATTTAGATTCCTTTGGTGCAGACTCTGGGCTGATAAGAGGCTAGAATAGTCTCTGGAGGTTAAGAATCCTCCAGCCCTCAGGGGTGGCTGGGTGGCTCAGTTGGTTAAGCGTCCGACTTCAACTCAGGTCATGATCTCATGGTCTTTGAGTTCGAGCCCCACGTCGGGCTCTGGGCTGATGGCTCAGAGCCTGGAGCCTGCTTCCGATTCTGTGTCTCCGTCTCTCTCTGCCCCTCCCCCATTCATGCTCTGTCTCTCTCTGTCTCAAAAATAAATAAACGTTAAAAAAAAATTTTTAAGAATCCTCCAGCCCTTCCTGGTAGAGAGGGGGAGGCCAGAGAATTTGTCCTGAGTCTGTTTCTCCTCAATTGTCAAACTGAGGCTCAAAATAAGCCTTACCCCAGAATGGCATGTCTTAGGGTGGCAGGCTCTAAACCCCTTCACATTCAATTTTTCTTTCTTTTCATAAGGTTCTAAAAATAATACATACACATGGTAGAAAATTTGAAATTTAGAAAGACGTTAAAAGAAGCATGCAGAAACATCACCAAATCTTATCCTGTTAGTCAAATGCAACCACAGTTAAGAATGGTTCCAGTATTCTTTCCTAGGATTTATCTTCATGTAACTGAGATCATTCTTTACAGAGAATTTCACACACCATTTTTTGTTCAATCCATCAAAAGTATTTCCTCATGCCATTATTAATTCTTTAAATATTGTTTTAATGGCAGTATAATTTTTCATCATATGACTCTGCTATGATTTGTTAATAATTTTCCTAATTTTGGACATTTAGGGCATACCTAAATTAACGTTTTATGTGTATGCATAAATGTTAGCCTTTCAAATTCTTTCTTTTTTTTTTTTTTTAAGTTTACTTATTTATTTTGAAAGACAGACAGCATGCATATGTGGGAAGGGCAGAGAGGTGGGGGGAGAGAGAGACTCCCAGGCAGGTTCTGCGCCGACAGCTATGACTGACCCAGGGCTCGATCCAGGAATGGTGAGATCATGACGTGAGCTGAAACCAAGAGTTGGACGCTTAACCCATTGAATCACCCAGGCACCCCTTAAATCAATACCTTAGAATAGTCTAATAGAAGGAGAAACACCAGATCAAAGAGTGTAATCATTTTTAACGCTGTATTAATTTGTATTAACACAGTGTATCAGTGTCTTCCTGAAACTCTGACTGCACTGACTAATGTAATTCGAAAATCTTTGCTTCTTTGTTAGGTCCCTATTATTTAACTTGGTATTCACTGGTGAGGCTGAAAATTGTTTACTGTATAATTAGCTATTTGTATTTTCTCTTCTATGAATTGTCAGCTCATGACCTTTATCTGATACGCTCATTAATTTATATAGACACTATATAATAAGATGATTTGTGCCTCCATTTTGGAAAAAAAAATACATTTTCTTATCATTTGGCTTTTTGGCCTCTGATTTTGTTATGGTTATTTTTGACACACGGGAATTTTGTATTACTCCATATTTCCACTTATTGACCCTTTACTCAGTGACCTCTTCCATTGCTTTAAAGTACAGAAAAATCTTCACCCACCTAGAATAGATAAATATGTAGAGATTACTCTTTTAGCTATTTAACTTCTGAAAAATAATATTTCTTTATCTAGATCTTGTTATATGGTATGACAAAAAATAATTCTTTTCCTGATAAGCTAACAATTATCATAGGGTCACTTGCTGACTACTTGTCCCTACAGTTTTTTTATGTATTCCATATATAGATATTTCAGTTTATTCTTACATACACAAGATTATATCTGGGGGTTTTCTAACTGATTTCTTTGCCTATTCTTTTGCCAGTAGTTTCATCACCCCCAATTTTTTTAGAAGTTCTTTTTAGCTCTTACACTGAATTCCTTAAAAGATGGCCAAGATGATATACAAAGAAAACTGTTTAAAGAGGATGTCTGCCTTTGAAGTTTCAGGTCTTAGTTGAAAAATATAGTTCTTCTTGTGTCTATGAAGGATGGAGCTCATGCTATGACACAGAAAATCAGGAAGGACTTTCTTGGTTTCTTGATAGTCATGGGAACAGTGATATAAAAAAGAATTATATATCTTTTTGTTCATCTCAAGCAAAGAAAATGTCCAGCGAGGAGATTAAGATATTTAATGCTAGAAGATCACCTCTGCTTGGACTCCTGGGGCACCAGTAAAGATACCAACCCATAGACCTGTAGAAAATTGCCAGAAACTGTCACAAAATGATACATGAGAGAAAGCCTGAATTACAGTGGTCCCATTAAGGTTCTAGAAAGGATGTGCCAAATAATTTTGTTTTGTTTTTTAAGGCTTATTAACAGTGAAATCTTAGAGTGTTGAGGTTTTAGGTGACTTTTTTCTTTCTCTTTTTAAAAGTTTAATTGTGTTTTCATTTTACCCCAAATTCCATACGTTTTTCCTGCCCCCTTAATAATGGTCTGTTAATTAATTAACTTCGGGAATACAATATGGGAAGCTTTAGCCCCAAGAAGTGCAATGGTACAAAAAGTGGGTTTTCTACTTCTCCATCTCTCTTCCTTAGTAAATATAGCAACACTAAAACTCATCTCATTAGAAGAGATTTTGTGAAAATGAGACAAGACATTTCTAAACTAAGTGCTTTTCCTCCGAATAAGATTTAACCCAAAATGAAGTTGGGGACTTGAAGCAGGTATGAAAAAACCTTTTTTTTTTTTTTTTTAAATTTCTATTTCTAAAGCTAATAAAAACCCTTTCACAGTAGGTTTTCTTTCTCTTGACAACCAAGGATTGATACATCTTGCGTGTCAGAAAGTAGAGGGCTGTGTGTAAGTAAGTGCTCCCTGGACACAATTCTTTTCCCCTGTAAATTTCCTTTCTGTGATCCAACTGGCGCTCTTTCACTGTCTTGAAAATTCCCATTTTTCTTTAACGGTCTCTACTATCCTGTTTTCTTTGCTCTTCTTAATCGTTCTGCTTTTCATTAGTAGATAATTCTCTCTGGCTGACCAACAGTGAGGAGGGTCAGAGTCATGGACAATATACCCTATCTGGTTTAGTCGGGCTCCAGAAAAGCTAAACTGTGCCTCACCCTCGAATGAAGTTACTTTAAGTATAAGTGATAATCAGCCTCCGTGGCAATGATTTCATCATACTAAGCGCTTGAGAATACCTGCTGCACTTTTTTCACCTCCCCACCCCAGGCAAGTTTATCTTTGCTCTTAAACCATCAACGGCACTTTGTATTTCTTTTCCATGCCACATTGAAAAGCAATAAAAATCAAGCGCGGTGCGTATCACTTAAACACATAAACAATTATGTAATAGTCCATTTCCCCCTCAAACCTTCCGTGCTTGTTTTCCTGTCTTAGAGTAACACTTGAAAGTCATCAAAGTGCCTACAGTGGCAGCAGCTGTTGGTGTTGGGGGTGGGGGAGCACGGCGCATGTCACATCTTTGCTCTAGGATGGGCGTCCACGTAATTTCTTGGAACAAGGCTTCTAGTGGATAACCCGGTGAGATGGAGGAAACTTCCTTCCATTCAGATACTGTCAGGGCCAATGTGCCTTTCGGGAGAGATGGTCTGTGAGATTCTGAACATTGAAACTGTAAAAAAAATTGAGCTGGACAGATCCTTGCCACCACTTTTTCTGCTAAATATAGATAAGTTGTCATCGGCCTGCACAAGCAATTTCCAGCTACAGCTCCTCAGGAAGGGAGGCAGGTCCAGGGGCTCGTGTCTCTGGCAGTTAAACTGCAGAGAGAGGAGTGGACCTCCACTCAGAGGTTGTGAGCTGCAAGGGAAGGGGGCAAGAATGGAAAGAGGAGAGAGGCATCTTAGCTTTGGTTGAATATAATGGCACACTGGGGCATCTGTAGCAAATGACGGTAGTGGTTCTCATTAGGCATCAGTAACTTTGAAGAAAAGGTGTGTAGAAGGAGCTCTAACCCAGAGTCTGCCCTCAAGGTCCCCCCTCTGCCATCACTTTGGAAAACAATGTGGTAGAGTGGGAAGATACTATGAGATACCTAGTCAAAGAGTCCTGAGTTTGGATCCTACCTTAACCTGACCCTATGTCTGATTTGGAGTTACTGAAATACTCTGAGCCTCAGGGTCCTTCTATATAAAACGTAGGTAAACTAATATCTCTCTCACAGTATTATTAGGACTAATGATAGGATTGAAGTACATGGCACGGCTAAGTACTTATCTTTGCTCGGTGCCCTTCTCCTTCTTCCCTGTTAGGCAAGTCACTTAAGCTTCCCTGGACTCCAGTGGTTTTTCTCTTAGCAAGTCCTACTGGTTGTACCTCTAAAATATAATCAGAATGTACCCACTTCTATTTCCATGGCTACCGCACCAGTACAAGCCACTGTCATCTCTTGCCAGGGCACTGCAATAGTTTCCTGACTAGTTTCTCTCCCTCTGTTTTTAAACCCTGTATAATCTGTCTCTGCACAGCAGGTAGATAGAACTTTAAAAAAAAAAAGTAAGTTAAATCATGCCACTCCCCTATCTAAAGCCCTCCAAGCGCACTTAGAATAAAATCCAAGCTTCTCACTACAGCCTTTGATGCTCTGTGCGATCTAGTCCCTGCTTATCTTTGTCTTCTTTGACTCCCATCTGCTATCACTTTCTTCTTCTATTAATATTTTCCAACTGTACTGGCCTAATTTCACTTCCCAGAACACATCAAGTTTGTTTCTACCTTGGGGACTTTGCTTTTGCTGTTTCCATAGCCTGGAAGAAGCTTCTTCCAGCTTCTGCAGCGGTTGAAACCTTTTCAACGGTTCGGGCAGGTGGTCCCTCCTAAAATTTGTCTTTCCTCACCTAGTGTGTCTATCCTAGCCTATTTTACTTTCCTCAGAGCACCTGTCACGACCTAGAATTATGTGAAATTTTGCTTGTCCGTTTTCCTCTTGGGAATGTAAACTCTGAACAAAGGGGACTATATATATATCTATATATCTATATCTATATATATCTACATATATCTATATATCTATATCTATATCTATATCTATATCTATATCTATATCTATATCTTGAATAAGCCTAGAACAATGCATGGAGCAGAGTAAGTACTCAGCAATCACTTGGTGAATGAATTAGGAATGAATACGTAAGATAAGGTGGTAAGATCTTCTTAAAAGTTTGTGACTAGATTTGACAGTCTTTCTATGCCCTTTCCATTTCTAAAAGATTCTAGGATTCCTTGAACAGAAAGTCTGAATCCCAGAATAATTTTACAGAAACGTAGTTTAGAAATTTTTCAAATACTCAACATAGAAAATATTATATTAGGTTTGCCAGACGGAGGCACTCTGGGTATCTGCTTTAATGAAAAAAAAAATAAGAAGGACTTATAATTTGCATGTGGACTATTTGTATGTAAAGGGATCCTTTTAAACTATTTAAAAATTGTGTTCCTTTAAGTAGCATTTAGATTTTCTGAGCAATCCTATTTACAGTTGGCTTAGCACATCCATTCTTCACAGATCTTGAAAGGGAATATGATTCCACAGCATAACACATCTGCTAAAAGAAATAGCTCAGGTAAGCTCGGGCTTTGTGACTTGTATGTTCTTCGGCTCAGGGAGGTATTCATACCATTGTGCTCTGGGCAGGTGAGTCCACTTCTGGGCTGTGTTACAAGAGGGACACTGTGGGGGCACCTGGGTGGCTCAGAGCCTGGGGCCTGCTTTGGATTCTGTGTCTCCCTCTCTCTCTCTGTCCCTCTCCCTGCTTGCACTCCATCTCTCTCTCTCTCTCTCAAGAATAAATATTAAAAAGAAAAGAGGGACACCGTGCAAACTGGATCACATCCTAGGGAAGAAACTGGAAACCGTGTTAACAGAAGAAAATGGGAAGGCTTAAGTGAAAGGAGAGGAGATTGTAAAGGCTGGCAGTTGTCAAATATTTGAAGGTTTCTCATAAAAAGGCAGATTCTGTGTTGCAACCGCCATGGGACAAATCTAGAACCAATGAGTCGAAGCTACCGGGAAGCAGATTTTGACTCAACAAATGGAGAGAATTTCCAACAGTCTGTCTTCATGCGTAAGCAAAAGCCTGCCCGTAAATACAACGAGCAGGTACCATCACTGGACGTTTAAATTTGGGGGCAGGCAGAGGAGCAAGGATTCCTCTTGTTGCAGGTGGGCAGCACAGACACTTCCAGCAAGCTCTCACGGAAGTCTCTTCACACATTCCAGGCTGGCTAGCAGGGACTAATAATACTATGTGATCTGTATCACATACCGTTCTAACAGTAACATATGGGATACGATGAGTGCCGTTTAGATAACAGCTCAAGCCCGGAAAACTTTGAGTTTCGGAAGTTAACTTAGAATTTCATAGATCCGTGATTTTATATTCTCACCTGGAAGCAAGTTACTGGCTATTTCCTGCCCAAGAGATTTCTTCTCTGGAAAGCTGAAGGAGGCTACTACTCTTCCATATCCTTGGTGAAAGACAGGCTGTGTTCCAAGCATAACCCTGGGTTTAGGGATAGCCGATAAGGCTGGAGAGTACAGGGTTGAATTAGATCACCTTTTAATTCGTAGCCTAAGAACGGTCTGTGATTTTTACCTATCCTTTCTGGCAGGGGCAGCTGGTAACTGGAGGCAGAAGCTGACCTTGCACAGCAACACCCCCAGCCTGACCCCTCTTTTCTCCTCCTTTCCTTCCTTTGCCTTTCTTTAGAATTCCTAGGAGCCTTTGCATGCTTAGCATGAAAATGAGCCCATTTTATTTTTGGAACCCACAGAGGCAGCCCCGAGGGGAGTTATTGTGTTGCTTTTAGCAGCTAAACAAAAAGGTGTGAAATCATTTGCTGGCTGCTCTAGAATGAGAACAAATAAATAAATAAACTGAGAAGGAAGGTTCAGGACAGCGTGGGGCAACTTGGACAGAACCTCGTGACAGGCTTCTCTGAGACTTATTAGTAACCAAAGCGGCTGTAGGAATGTCTGTGCATCTTTCTCACCTTCCCAGGAAGTTATGAGAATAGCAGGGAAGCCACCGGGATGTTTTTTGTTTTGTTTTGGTTTTTGTTTTTAAATTTTTTTTTCAACGTTTTTTACTTATTTTTGGGACAGAGAGAGACAGAGCATGAACGGGGGAGGGGCAGAGAGAGAGGGAGACACAGAATCGGAAACAGCCTCCAAGCTCCGAGCG